GAACCTGCGTCCGAGAGCATCCCAGACGCTGCCTTAATCGACTGAGCTACGACATGGTCAAAAGGAGTTGAAACCGAAGTTCTACAGAACTTACTGGATCCTGCAGCCTCTCCGAGGCACAAACCAGGGTTATACATGGGGTGTAAAACCCATAACCCCCATTGTCTGGCACCCATACTCCCATGGGGTATGGGTGCCCTAATAACCCCTGGACTGTCGTACATATGTAGTCAAGCTGGGAACATGTGACGTCTCCTACTCCTAGCCGAGACACTTGTCACACCACTTGTGAGCCATAAGTGCACTCACCCTACAAATGTAAACATAGCCTATCTTCGATATGTAAGATTCTCCTTGGCTCTGAGCACCACCTGGACCAATGGCGGGGAAGATACCATACCGCGAAGAGGTACAATTGGCGCTCTAAATCTGCCACGCCTCTCAGGTGACCACTCAGGCGGACACCTTCAGTATCTAGAGAGGTCACTAAGGGGCGGAAAGCGTTATAATAAGAGTGACTCGAGTGCGTAATGGGTGAGAGTGGAGGCGAGGGGAGGGCAGCACTTGGCCCGGCAGGCGGTGTGTGTGTGTGTGTGGTGGGCGGTTGGCAGGGAGGATGGGCAAGCGTGGGCGGCTGCCACTGTTCGCGCGCCAGGTGCTGTGGTGGCCAGGTGCTCCGGCCCTCCTGCTGGTGCTCGTGCCCAGGTGCTCCGGCCCTCCTGCTGGTGGTGGCCAGGTGCTCCGGCCCTCCTGCTGGTGGTGCCCAGGTGCTCCGGCCCTCCTGCTGGTGGTGCCCAGGTGCTCCGGCCCTCCTGCTGCTGGTGGCCAGGTGCTCCGGCCCTCCTGCTGGTGGTGGCCAGGTGCTCCGGCCCTCCTGCTGGTGCTGGTGCCCAGGTGCTCCGGCCCTCCTGCTGGTGGTGGCCAGGTGCTCCGGCCCTCCTGCTGGTGGTGGCCAGGTGCTCCGGCCCTCCTGCTGGTGCTGGTGCCCAGGTGCTCCGGCCCTCCTGCTGGTGGTGGTGCCCAGGTGCTCCGGCCCTCCTGCTGGTGGTGGCCAGGTGCTCCGGCCCTCCTGCTGGTGCTGGTGCCCAGGTGCTCCGGCCCTCCTGCTGGTGGCCAGGTGCTCCGGCCCTCCTGCTGGTGGTGGCCAGGTGCTCCGGCCCTCCTGCTGGTGGTGGCCAGGTGCTCCGGCCCTCCTGCTGGTGGTGGCCAGGTGCTCCGGCCCTCCTGCTGGTGGTGGCCAGGTGCTCCGGCCCTCCTGCTGGTGGTGGCCAGGTGCTCCGGCCCTCCTGCTGGTGGCCAGGTGCTCCGGCCCTCCTGCTGGTGCTGGTGCCCAGGTGCTCCGGCCCTCCTGCTGGTGAGTAGTGGGTATCAGTCGATCCATCTATCAGGCCAGGAACGAACAGACAAAAACCAGAGTCCACCACTCTGTCCATTTACCGAGCAAGTGGTCAAAACATCAATGATGGAATGGTGGCCACCTACTTGGATGGTCGGGGATTGAACGCCGACCTGCATGAAGGGAGACCGTCGGTCTACCGTCCATCCCAAGTGGCCGAGCAAACGGACGCAGTAAAAAAAAACACGTCCTTCCGAGTTTACAGACTTTTACGAAGCTATACACCCAACAGTTCAAGAGATAACTGAAGTTTACAATATTCAGATCGCATGAGCGGCAAAAGATAAAATTATCAGCGAAGACAGAGTTCGCAGGCGATGGTACTCGGAGGATGAGGTGATGCTAAGACTCCAAACCTGACCATTTATAGTCAACCAAGGATGCTGTACAGTACTGTACACTATGTGAACACCGCAGTGGCCACACCCCTGCCCATCACACACTCGTGACACACACACACACACACACACACACACACACACACACACACACACACACACACACACACACACACACACACACACAAACACAGAGGCACACGCACTAGGGGACACAGGTGGAAACTGAGTGCCCAAATGAGCCACAGAGATATTAGAAAGAACATTTTTAGTGTCAGAGTGGTTGACAAAAGGAATGCATTAGGCAGTGATGTGGTGGAGGCTGACTCCATACACAGTTTCAAGTGTAGATATGATAGAGCCCAATAGGCTCAGGAACCTGTACACCAGTTGATTGACAGTTGAGAGGCGGGACCAAAGAGACCCAAAGCTCAACCCCCGCAAGCACAAATAGGCGAGTATACACACACACTCACACACACACACACACACACACACACACACACACACACACACCTGCGTATCACATTAATACAACCAACACCTGCATCAAGTACTAATGCGCCACTCGTGGGGGATTGTCGATTAACAAACCGATAATACTTACTGGGGGTTAATTTAAACAATGCAGGTGTCTGGCGCGTGTGGCAAAGATACAATCAGCAGCTACTGAATATAACAACACAAGATCAAAATGGTGGTTTGAAGCAAGATATCAACACCCACACCGAGCATAAAATTTACAAGGTGCTTAGCACAACAACAATTTAATCTTTAACATGGTACCGAGTTTTCTCAGAGCAGTGAACAAGTGGTAGTGACCTTATCTTGAGGTTATCTTGAGATGATTTCGGGGCTTTAGTGTCCCCGCGGCCCGATCCTCGACCAGGCCTCCAGGCCTGATGAAGAGACATATCCCAAACTACTGAAATACCTCTAGCTTAAAACCCAGAACTTACAGCAATGAGTTACTAGGGGCCAGATTCACGAAAGCACTTACGCAAGCACTTACGAACGTGTACATCTTTCCTCAATCTTTGACGGCTTTGGTTACATTTATTAAACAGTTTACAAGCATGAAAACTTGCCAATCAACTGTTGTTATTGTTATAAATAGCCTCCTGATGCTTCGGAGCTCATTAACTGTTTAATAACTGGAAACAAAGCCGCCAAAGATTGAGAAAAGATGTACAGGTTCGTAAGTGCTTGCGTAAGTGCTTTCGTGAATCTGGCCCCAGGAGATTTTAAACGAATTAAACTTCACGTCTCTTGAGAGGAGAAGTAACAGAAGACATGACTCCCACATACAAAATACTCAAGGCAGACCAGAAGAGGCTAATAAAGTGCGGCACACGAACAAGGAGACACAAGAGGAAGGAAAGAGTACCTAAGAGTGGTTCTTTATAATCCTAAAGTAACAAGGTGAATAAACTAAGACATGTAGAAGTGGAAGCAGGTTCACTAAGCCTACCCACCTTCTATATAGATATGGCAGAGTCCAAAAGGCAGAAGGTTGTAGCAAGGTCCAAGAGCTGAAACCTCACTATCCGCAAGCACATGTAGGCGAGTACACACACACACGGGACCAAAGAGCCAAAGCTCAACCCCCGCAAGCACAACTAGGTGAGCACACACAGACACATACACACACACACACACACACACACACACACACACACACACACACACACACACACACACACACACACACACACACACACACACACACACGGGACCAAAGAGCCAGAGCTCAACCCCCGCAAGCACAACTAGGTGAGCACACACACACACACACACACACACACACACACACACACACACACACACACACACACACACACACACACACACACCGGCAAACCTTCACGGCGCTGCCCAAGATAATTTTGCCTTATCAGTGCGTCTCACGGCCCCTCCTCCCGTCCTTGTGGCAGAGTTGGCTCCGCGCTCAGATTGTCATCTTAAATACATCAAATCTTAAGAGCAATATAATTTTAATTAAACTGGTGATGGCTAAGACAGCGACTGCCTCTGAGCACCGAAAAAATTTTACCCCTTGCAACTGCCGTATATCCATGAAGACTTTAAAATTTATACAAATTCTTCGTAAACACGTACAAATATGATGCGAGGCTGCGTGTACTTCTGAGGGGCCGAGAGGTGAGTTGTGTGAATATATTGTGGAGGGGGGCTGTGGAGAGGGGGGGGTGATGTGGAGGGGGGCTGTGGGGGAGTGCTGTGGAGGGGGGGCTGTGGGGGAGTGCTGTGGAAAGGGGGGTGCTGTGGAGGGGGGGCTGTGGGGGAGTGCTGTGGAGGGGGGGCTGTGGGGGAGTGCTGTGGAGAGGGGGGCAGTGGAGGGTTAAAAACACACTATAACACACACCTGACTTTTCGTGATTCAAATACTGACCTGAAACTTTCACACACACCCGGTCGAGCGTACAATTATTTCCAGCAGTATGGGAGCTGTGAAGTGCTGCCTTAAGTGAGGTACCGTGTATACACGGAGGGATTGCTCAAGACACATCTTAGTTTATATGTATAGTCACACTCGCTGCCGCCCCTCCGTCTTGGCCAAATGTCGACACCAGTATTGAAGAAATCATCTTGAGATAATTTCTTAGCGTCCTCGCGGCCCGATCCTCGACCAGGCTTCTTTTTTGTTACACATCCCCCAGGAAGCAGCCCCTAGCAGCTGTCTAACTCCCAGGTACCTATTTACTGCTAGGTGAACAGGGGCCATCAGGGTGAAAAAAACTGTCCATTTGTCCAACGGCCTACGAATCCCGAGCGCTGTCTACTCAGCCATCAGGGCCCCGTTATTCATTCACCAAACTAATGATATAATTTTCTACGAAGAGAATTACCCACACAGTTAACAGCATAAGTTTGTATTCAAACATTCATATATCAAGCACTTGACAGCTGGGTGGACAGCGCTTCGGATTCGTAGTCCTGAAGTTCCGGATTCGATCCCCGGTGGAGGCGGAGATAAATGGGCAAAATGTTTCTTTCACCCTGTTACCTAGCAGTAAATAGGTACCTGGGTGTTAGACAGCTGCTACGGGCTGCTTCCTGGGGGAGTGTAACAAAAAGGAGGCCTGGTCGAGGACCGGGCCGCGAGGACGCTAAGCCCCGAAATCATCTCAAGATAGATCACTGGCGACACTATCCGCGCTAGGAAGGTCAACATGACTGCAAAACAATGCAACTTGGGAATGGGCGAAGTACAATATTATCAACACAGGACAATACTGTGTACTTACCTCCAACAAACTTCATCGACGAGTCATTTGCAGGTGTGTAGCAGAAAGTGTAGGCAGGTGTGTAGCGGAGAGGGTAGGTAGGTGTGTAGTAGAAAGTGTAGGCAGATGTGAAACCGTCGGCAACACTGTAGATATGTTCTTCACTATGAGTGGAGACAGTTTTCTTTTAAATGTCACAAAGCTTACTTAGAAGCTTTCCAAACAGTAGAGAAGCTGGAGTCGAGTAAATAATAATGGCTTTCTCTCACCCACACTTTTTAATGAGCAGAAAAAAACTTGTCAAATTAAAACATTTTCACACTGGACAGCAAAAAACAAAATATTATTTATCAAGCAGCACTTTCGCCACTAGGATATGTTCAGAACAATTAGGAGGCAAGCACGTCTTGACCCCAAACTAGGCCGCAGTGCGGTCAAGAGAAGACTCAAATCATATAGAACAGGTCCAATACGGGGTACCTTAAGACAGTCGACCAAACACAAGGAGCTTTCTTATAACTTTGACATCACCTGCACACCTGTAACAGGTGTGTGTGTGTGTGTGTATAACACCCTACACGTGGCTGATCAACATCTGGGTTATGCGCGCGAGTATTCAAATTGAATGACGGTTGGGATGTAGCCAATCACAATCGAGTAAGCCTCTGACGTCATTCTCTACAGAGAGCTGGTATACTAACCGTTCTGGCGGCAAGTCAGTATTCTCACAGGCCCAGAGTAGGTAGGACCTCGACAGGCCATTAACTATACACCGTTAACTTCCCCAATAAACTGTCATACAGTTTGAGTACTAACAACTCTTCCATTAACAACGGGTCATCCTTGCAAGATTCTCCATCAACCAAAGGCATAAAATAGGTAAGTCTACATTACTCCTTTTATGACTAATGAATACAGCACAAAGATAGAACTCATTCGTGGGCCCTCACAGTTGGGCAACAAAATAACTCGGTCCACTACGGGCTCACCATAGCCCGTGCTACTTGCCCCGCTCCTGTGCCAGGTAAGTCCACTACGGGCTCACCATAGCCCGTGCTACTTGCCCCGCTCCTGTGCCAGGTAAGTCCACTACGGGCTCACCATAGCCCTTGCTACTTGCCCCGCTCCTGTGCCAGGTAAGTCCACTACGGGCTCACCATAGCCCGTGCTACTTGCCCCGCTCCTGTGCCAGGTAAGTCCACTACGGGTTCACCATAGCCCGTGCTACTTGCCCCGCTCCTGTGCCAGGTAAGTCCACTACGGGCTCACCATAGCCCGTGCTACTTGCCCCGCTCCTGTGCCAGGTAAGTCCACTACGGGCTCACCATAGTCCGCCCTACTTGCCCCGCTCCTGTGCCAGGTAAGTCCACTACAGGTCCACTGACGCTAATTTCTCCGCCTTAGATGCAGGCTAAGTGTGAGTGACAAGAGACTCCAGCAGGCCTCAAGTGCGAACTAAGACCTGTATGCAGTCGCAGCTCCTGAGATACTCGCGTGTCACCACAGTCTGATACACCAATCGAGGATCTCTTTAACACGTCGTTAAACCCCGCAGGTCTCTTGATCTTTGCGTCACAGAAATCTGTTCCACCATGTACAACGACATGCTCGGTCTATGCCTGTGTACACAGATGGCACCAAACCTTTGAGTGGGTGGGTACAATTGGTTACCATCTGCCACTTTGATGAATCACCGACGAGCACTGCTCTGTGCTGCCAGGCACAGCGGTAGTACATGCTGTGTTGTTCACTAAACCCACACACTAGAACGTGAAGGGGCGACGACGTTTCGGTCCGTCCTGGACCATTCTCTCAAGTCGATTGTGAGAATGGGCAAGTCACAATCGACTTGAGAATGGTCCAGGACGGACCGAAACGTCGTCGTCCCTTCAATTTCTAGTGTGTGGTTTGGTCAATATATTTCAGCAATGTTATTGTGACTCCTCGTCTGCACATGCTGATTTGTCACCACCCAAATTTAGTTATTACAATTCTCGTAGAGTCTCAAAGTGCAAAAGAAAGCCATCGAACATACGTCAGACTGCAAGCAGCTAAAACTAACTGCCTGGTTGATCAGATCACCAACCAGGAAGCCTGGTCAGAGATCGGTCGGCTGGGGCATTGATCCCCGGAACCAGCCACAGGTTATCAGGCAAGTAGGTGCACTGTGGCTTGTTGAGTGCGAGGCTGTTGCTTCGTGGTAGACGACTGTTCACGTACAGACTGTTTCTGGGACCCCAGGGACCCCTGGGACCCCCAGGGGTTTCCTGGGATCCCCTGGGACCTCCTGGGACCAGCTGGGACCACAATAGTCTCATCAAACCCATCACTTACGGTGTCGCAGACGGAAAGCACCGAACAAAGATAATGTTTGACGTTAGATTTGCGAGGGTCTTTAGGGCAGTGTTAAATTTACCTAAATTGGCCATTAAACTGCACAAGATCTGCATTTGACGATTTGTAAACAAGACCAGTTTAAGGTTTGTTTTGCGGATTTGACGACCAACACTATATTGTGTGTGATGTTGAGCAGCTCCGGCCAGCCAAGTGAGTTTAATTTACAGGTTGACTTCATCGTCTCACTATTTGTTCGGTAATATATGAAAATATTGCACTTTAGTTATGGTGGTGGATTTCGTTACTTCCTTCAATGCATTCCACCTGTTGACCCCCTCGTACAGGGTAGTGAGTCAGGTTATCTTCTTCAGGTTATCTTGAGATGATTTCGGGGCTTTTTAGTGTCCCCGCGGCCCGGTCCTCGACCAGGCCTCCACCCCCAGGAAGCAGCCCATGACAGCTGGCTAACACTCAGGTACCTATTTTACTGCTAGGTAACAGGGGCATAGGGTGAAAGAAACTCTGCCCATTGTTTCTCGCCGGCGCCTGGGATGGAACCCAGGACCACAGGATCACAAGTCCAGCGTGCTGTCCACTCGGCCGACCGGCTCCCATGCATTTCTTGACTCTTATTATAAGTATTTCCAGCTGCCATCTATGTCCTTGCAGACGACGAGTCGTCACGTGATGAAACGACAACTTTTCAGTCCAATCTTGATAATGGGCCAAGACGAACCGAAACGTCATTTTTTCTTATTTCATGCCACCCTTGGCCTTGTGTCCTACTTCTTAGCAATTAGAAGAGGGTTATCATTGTCCACCTTGGTTATTACCCTCAGTATACTGCAGGTTGTAATTATATCCACCCCCTCCCCACCCCCCACCGCCAAACATACACACACCGAAACTACGACGTTGGCACAACGTTCCAACACGTTTAATACCTCCTAACCCGTTATAACAACCAATATAGCAAGTTGTAACAACGTTCTAATACGTCATAAACACGTTAAGCCAAGATGTAACAACTTTATTACAAGTTGTAACAAGCGGAAAATAGAGACAGTTACGATTTGTGTTTCCAGGGGGGCCTTCCCTGTTTATTCTCGCGTCTATGGTTAAGATATCTGGTTATCTTACCCCGTGCTCGTAGCTTCACCCATATATAGACTGCCTAGATTGCCGTATATCCTGTCAAGCAGGGTGCAGTCGCACCTCCACATCTATTGATACTGGTAATGGCTCAAAAGGGCCTCCACTTACGGGCTATTCATGCCCGTGCCACCTTTTGGGTGGCTTAATCTTCATCAAATCAAATCAATCAATCACCGTATATCATTATTTAGGGTTTTAAATGACCGTTTAGACATTTGACCGCTTCCTATCAGCTGCTGATATAATCACATAGAGAGGTTGACTGGGGCGGTACGCCTGTCAAATGATAACGCAGGTGCGGCCAACAGCCTGGTTGACCAGTTCCAGCAACCAGGAGGCTTGGACGACGACCGGGCCGCGGGGACGCTGAGCCCCGAAATCATGGCAAGGTAGGTGCCCCCAAGGCCAGCTTTTCCCTCCCATTCCCATCCTTATTACCTTACACTTGTGTGGATTGAATTACAGCAGCCACCTGTCTGCTGTAATCCCAGTCCACTCTCTTGAGCTTGTGGAGATCCTCCTGTATTGTTCTACTGTGGTGGTATGTTGGTTGTAGTTTTTTTTTTTTGAGATATATACAAGAGTTGTTACATTCTTGTACAGCCACTAGTACGCGTAGCGTTTCGGGCAGGTCCCTGGAATACGATCCCCTGCCGCGAAGAATCGTTTAAAGTTGTGGTCAAATATTGTTAGTGATGGTGATGGTGAGTGTGGATGGTGGGGTTAAATATGGATGGTGGGAGTGAGTGTGGGGGGTTGTGAGTAGAGGTTACAACAGTTCCTTTGAGCGAGTAAGGAAGGAGAGGCAGGAGGGTGCGGCCTTGCAAACGTTAATTTCTTGTCTATCAGGTTGGCTTCAACTAGTTCCGTACCTCACCACAACACCCCACAACCATCCCTCTCATCCCACAACCACCCCCCTCACCCCACAACCATCCCCCTCACCCCACAACCAACCCCCTCACCTCACAACCATCCCTCTCATCCCACAACCATCCCCTCACCCCACAATCATCCCCTCACCCTACAACCATCCCCCTCACCCACAACCAACCCCTCACCTCACAACCGTCCCCTCACCCCACAACCATCCCCCTCACCCCACAACCATCCCCGCACCCCACAACAATCCCCCTCACCCCACAACCATCCCCCTCACCCCACAACCATCCCCCTCACCTCACAACCATCCCTCTCATCCCACAACCATCCCCTCACCCCACAATCATCCCCTCACCCTACAACCATCCCCCTCACCCCACAACCAACCCCTCACCTCACAACCGTCCCCTCACCCCACAACCATCCCCCTCACCCCACAACCATCCCCGCACCCCACAACAATCCCCCTCACCCCACAACCATCCCCTCACCCCACAACCATCCCCCTCACCCCACAACCATCCCCTCACCCCACAACCATCCCCTCACCCCACAATCATCCCCTCACCCTACAACCATCCCCTCTCACCCCACAACCATCCCCTCACCCCACAACCAACCCCTCACCCCACAACCATCCCCCCTCACCCCACAACCATCCCCCCTCACCCCACAACCAACCCCTCACCCCACAACCATCCCCCCTCACCCCACAACCATCCCCCCTCACCCCACAACCATCCCCCCTCACCCCACAACCATCCCCCCTCACCCCACAACCAACCCCACACCCCACAACCAACCCCTCACCCCACAACCATCCCCCTCACCCCACAACCATCCCCTCACCCCACAACCAACCCCTCACCCCACAACCAACCCCTCACCCCACAACCAACCCCTCACCCCACTAGACAGTCAACAAGTCGACATAACAATATCAACACCAACACCATTAGCTCTCATAAACAACAAGGGGCTCTTTCAACAAGTACACAACGTACGTCAGACGTAGCAGAATATGCAGCACCGACATGGAATGCCTGCCTAGTGAAGCAGACATAGACAAAGTAAAACACCCAAAGGTTTACCACAAGGTTAATGACTCAAGTGGACAAAAACAACGACTGTTGTTGTTTCAGATTTAGCTACTCAGAACGAGGTGTCCATGTAGCACGGGCTATGGTGAGCCCGTAGAAAACAACGAGGACAAGGGGACAAATACTGTAGTTAAGACCAGGAGAAGATAATCAGGACATAGAGGACAGGAAAGGTGATTAAACAAGGTGGAGGAACAAGGTCTTCCACTTAAAGGGAGGAGATGAGGAGAAGTGGAGGTGGGTGGAAGGTGGAAAGGTCACACAGATAGATGACAGTCTCCGTGGTGTAGTGGTAAGACACTCGCCTGGCGTTCCGCGAGCGCTTTGTCCTGGGTTCGTATCCTGGCCGGGGAGGATTTACTGGGCGCAAATCCTTAACTGTAGCCTCTGTTTAACGCAACAGTAAAATGTGTACTTGGATGAAAAAACGATTCTTCGCGACGGGGATCGTATTCCAGGGACCTGCCCGAAATGCTACGCGTACTAGTGGCTGTGTCTCATCAACCACGGTGGAGCTCCTTACAGCCACAGACAGACAGACAGTCAAGGTCTCTAAGCGCGCTTCATAGGTTCGATTCAACACTTTGTGCTGAGGGAGTTAACACTCCCACTTCTCCGGCTCACCGGGTGGCTGAGCGGACAGCACGCTGGACTTGTGATCCTGTGGTCCCGGGTTCGATCCCGGGCGCCGGCGAAACCGATGGGCAGAGTTTCTTTCACCCTATGTCCCTGTTACCTAGCAGTAAAATAGGTACCTGGGAGTTAGTCAGCTGTCACGGGGTGCTTCCTGGGGGGTGGAGGCCTGGTCAAGGACCGGGCCGCGGGGACACTAAAAAGCCCCGAAATCATCTCAAGATAACCTCAAGATAACCTCGAGGTTACATTTAATGTTCAGCGGTAGAACTCTCGCCTGCCGATAGTGGCGGAGCATGAATTGGTGTATCCTCGAAAGCCCCCACAGGTAAATTGCTATATCTCCTCCCTCCCCCCCCCTCTCACCCCCAGTCATCATCTCTCCCCTCAACCCCAACATCTTACTTCCAGCTGTGAGCTGTGTAAATCATTACCACAGCGACGTACTCAAGAGCCCCTACCACTGATTCCTGTAGTTACCGTGTCAGCGAAGGTTTCGCGAAAGCCGAGAACACATATCACTACATTCCGTCTGGGATGCTCACAGGCGTAGATTCGAATCCTCGTCACGGCCCTTGTGGATGTGTCCATATATCACTGACTCGATAGTCCTGGTGACCGCTGTCACGCCTGTCTAGTGTGTAACAGTTTCCGCTCATTTGCCAATCTGATGTGCGAGATTGAGCGGGTTTCTGGCCAGCCGGGTGTGCGAAAGTTCCCGGTTTCTGGCCAGCCGGGTGTGCGAGAGTTCCTGGTTTCTGCCCAGTAGGGTGTGCGAGAGTTCCCGGTTTCTGGCCAGCCGGGTGTGCGAAAGTTCCCGGTTTCTGGCCAGCCGGGTGTGCGAAAGTTCCCGGTTTCTGGCCAGCCGGGTGTGCGAAAGTTCCTTCTGCTGCTGTGTGAGTCCCTTGAGTATATGGTTACATTTTCTGATCACTTGCGGCTAAGCATCCGTCGGTCCGCTCGATGGAGTACTCACAGCCAACGACCCGCACTCAACTTTCTTAATGATCTTTTTAAGAACTTTCCGGTGAAGGGGGTCGAACTGGTTGACACTCTCACTGCCTTAGCATCTCGAGGCGGACGACCGTGTTATAACACACAGGGGCCAGGCCCCCCCCACAGGTGAGGCTCACACGCAATGCAAACACATATACACCTCGAAGGTTGACGCCCACACACACACACACGCGCGTGAGGCAGGGCACCACTGCCACCTCTAACGTTGGCCCCACTGGCCCTCACTGAGACCTGGCACTCTCCGCTGCCACTACCACCTGGCACACCACCCTCTCCCCCCCCCTCCAGTTTACACGTACACAGCCGCACACGCCTACATAAGTACACACCGCCCACAGCCACACATACCTCCACGCGTACGTACCGAAAGCCACACACACACACACACACACACACACACACACACACACACACACACACACATACCTGGATTGCGTTTCGGGAGTTCTTCTACTCCCCGAGCCCGGCCTGGGGCCAGGCTCGACTTGTGATAACTTGGTCCAACAGGCTGTTGATTGGAACGGCCCGCAGGCCCGCATATCCACTACAGCCTGGTTGGTCCGGCACTTCTTGCAAGAACCTGTCCAAGTGCTTCTTGAATACAACCACCTTCGTTCCGGGAATACTTGTAATGCTTGCTGGGAGGGTGTTGAACAGCCCTGGACCTCTGATGGTAAAACAGTGTTCTCTGATTGTGTCTATGGCACCTCTACTCTTCACTGGACCTCTGATGTTCAGTGTTCTCTGATTGTGTCTATGGCACCTCTACTCTTCACTGGACCTCTGATGTTCAGTGTTCTCTGATTGTGTCTATGGCACCTCTACTCTTCACTGGACCTCTGATGTTCAGTGTTCTCTGATTGTGTCTATGGCACCTCTACTCTTCACTGGACCTCTGATGTTCAGTGTTCTCTGATTGTGTCTATGGCACCTCTACTCTTCACTGGACCTCTGATGTTCAGTGTTCTCTGATTGTGTCTATAGCACCTCTACTCCTCACTGGTTCTATTCTGCATTTCCTTCCGTATCTTTCACTCCAGTATGTCGTTATTCCACTGTGCATATTTGATACCTGGCCCTTCAGTATCTTTCATATATATATTATTTGATAACTTTCTCGTCTCCTTTCCAGAGAGTATATTTTGAGAGCATTGAGACAGTCCCCCAAGTTAAGGCAAACTTGCCTTAATCAAATTTCTCTTAACATAACTTATCTCCCATGTATAAACGCTAAAATGTGGTCAAAACTAAATTATTTTAAATCATTAACAATTGATTAGGTTCAGAGTCATTTTTCCAGTAAAGCTTTTAAATGTGAATATAAAATTATTTCTTACCCAATCATATTCCTTATTATTCTTTGGCCTATTGAACACAGTCAACCGTATTCTAATAGACGAAATTGATGCCACGTCTCTGCACACGGACCCGTGCCCCCCCCCCCCCCCGTGTACATCAACCCGTGGCGGCCAGCATAAACCGGACACCATCTGGTCACCATTTGGTCCGGGAGACATCTCCCGTCACGCAGGGTGCAGTCGCACCTCCACAGATCTCCAGTATCAGCTATTGATACTGGCAATGGCTCAAAAGGGCCACCACTTACGAGCTATTCATGCCTGTGCCACCTTTTGGGTGGCTTAATCTTCATCAATCAATCAATCAGCATAAACCGCGACCCGAGCCCAGGAGCTTGAACCAAGAGAAGGTATCAGCCAATACAACACCGGTGAAGGATGTGGTGTTGCAACCCGTTCTCGCACTTTCGTATAGTCAATATTGACTTATTAAATACGTGCATATGTGACATATTAATTTATTGTGAATATTTTAGTTTACCTTGAAAAGCTTCATAGAAAACACCGACCTCACCTAACCTTCTTAGTATGTTAAGATAAGCATCTTATTGCTACGTAATTACAATTATTACTTAACCTATTATAGGTATACTTAACCTATTATAGGTATAGGATAAGTAATAATTGTAATTACGAAGCAATAAGATGCTTATCTTAACATACTAAGAAGGTTAGGTAAGGTTGGTGTTTTCTATAAAGCTTTTCAAGGTAAACTAAAATATTCACAATAAATTAGCATGTCACATATGCACGTATTTAATAAGTCAATATTTACTGTAAGACAGTGCGAGAACGGGTTGGGTGTTGGTGTGGCTCAACGGGGGGTAACTAGCATATACCAAGTCCAGCAGCACTTACGGCGCGGTCTGCCGTCCCCCCAGCAGAGTCATGGGGTAGCCGCGGCCCCGGCGGCGGCTGCAGGAGTCGTCTTGAGGTGGTCGCAAGCCCCCACACCTGTCAGGAGAATGAACCAGTCATATGTTGCTGTTGTTATAGATTTAGCTAGTCAAAACGAAATGTCCATTTCGTCAATCAATGTCTCAACCGTCAATCAACTGGTGTACAGATTCCTGAGCCTACTGGGCTCTATCATATCTACATTTGAAACTGTGTATGGAGTCAGCCTCCACCACATCACTTCCTAATGCATTCCATCCGTTAAATACTCTGACACTGAAAAAAGTTCTTTCTAACGTCCGTGTGGTTCATTTGGGTTCTCAGTCTCAACCTCTGTCCCCTTGTTCGCGTACCGCCCGTGTTAAACAGTTTATCCTTAACCACCCTGTCAATTCCTCTGATAATTTTGTAGGTCGTGATCATGTCTCCCCTTACTCTTCTGTCTTCCAGTGTCGTGAGGTGCATTTCACGCATCCGTTTCTCGTAACTCATGCCCCTTAGTTCTGGGACTAGTCTAGTGGCATACCTCTGAACTTTTCCAGCTTCGTCTTGTGCTTGACAAGGTACGGGCTCCATGCTGGGGCCCCATACTCCAGGACTGGTCTTACATACGTGATATGTAAGGTTCTGAATATGTTTGTGTGTGTTTGTGTGTGCATGTATGTGATATATATGTAAAGAAATATATGTAGTAGATATAATAGAGGAAAAATAGGTTGGTTAGAAAGGCGGGGTCCAAGAGCTAATAGCTCGATTCTGTGGATCGTAAATACATATAGTAAATACACACACAGTGTCAAAACCCGATGGCACTATAAGGTGACAATTGAGTCCACGTGGCGACGAACCAGGTGTGAGCGTAGCCTCTTGAGCATATATGCCTCATCCCTTTGTGTGTTTTTATATCTCAATAAACTGATTTGAATTTGAATTTAAATTTGACATGACCGTTAAGTCTCCCCGAGCAGCACAACATCTAACCGTCTCCTCCTCGTTCTACACCATCAATCCAACTGGCTTTTAACAAACTGACAAACAAAAGAGGTAAACAATAATAAATGAGCCCTTGCAGGTGACAGCAGGAGAGAGAGAGAGAGAGAGGAGCTAGGCTGCAACCCCGCTAAGTGGCTCAATTAGCAGAGGGCATGACACCGCGTGACACTGCTCTGGCTTGACGGTATGACACTGTAGCAGTGTCTCATGACACTGGCACGCCAGTACAGGTGGCATGGTAGCAGGTGGGTTCATACAACAAGCGCTGAGCAACGAGGGTTTTCACACACACACACACACACACACCACCTCTGCCCCTGTTCCACAGTATTCAAACCCGCACTTCACAAATGCATTTTCCATCCGGCTACTCCCCCATCCCTTTCCCCCTGTTGACACCTCACAGCTGGCCGCAATGGGCTTATCATTTGCAGCGACAGAAACAGTCTATTACCTCAGAGTAAACAGAATAATGAAATATATAGTTTCAACCAATGTTTAAACACAATTTAGACCAGCTGACTATAATTTTAACCCCCCAAGAATTAACTTGTTTGAGGACAAATATTTGCCACCGACTAAATCATTCATCAAGATAAGTATCCGGAAATTAAGTCTTTGCCAGAGGACTAAATATGCGAGACATTTAGCACGGTGAACTATTCTTCTTCTTCAAACTCGCAATGTCCAAAAGATTAGCATTTAATTTCAAACTATGTTAAGGACACAGTCTTTAATATAATATGAATATGCTGGTAAGTGAAGTGTTTACGAGACAGCCGGGAAAGGCACTCAAGAAGGGTGTTTTAAGTCTTAAGACTTAAAGACTTTGAGTCCAGACGGACTCCAGAACACCAACACCCTTAGGCTTACACTCCACAGTCTTAACAGATAATGCATCAAGTGTTTTTCCTCCAGTAACTCTGGGAAAATAAGTCAATTCAAATAGCTACACAGGACCAGGTCAAATACCCAATCATCCATACAACTGCTGCAGTACAATATGAAGTATACACGGAAAGGTTTAAAAAGGATTAAGTAAAGACTCACAATCGACTTGAGAATGGTCCAGGACGGACCGAAACGTCGTCGTCCCTTCACTTTCTAGTGTGTGGTCTGGTCAACACGCAAGTAACACTAACAAAGCCACTCCCGCCGGCTCCAATCACCATTACAAAGTGAGAGAACACACACACACACACACACACACACACACACACACACACACACACACACACACACACACACACACACACACACACACACACACACACACACAGTGAAGAACGCGGGAGTCGCCGTAGAGCAGCGACGCCTATTTTATTGGCTGGCTTCTAGTGTTGAGCGGAGCCGCTTGGGCTTCCTGGCTGTCAACCTGAGCGCCCGCGCTCAAATGTACAGACAGCTCGCCTAGACATAAACTATGTTTCTACGTAGTTACACCGTTCTCTTGATACACCGTAAAAAAGTGCAACAAATTTGGCCTAACCGGAAAAGAAAGAACCCACCTAGGGCCAGATTCACGAAGCAGTTACGCAAGCACTTACGAACCTGGTGGCCAGATTCACGAAGCAGTTACGCAGGTACTTACGAACCTGGTGGCCAGATTCACGAAGCAGTTACGCAGGTACTTACGAACCTGGTGGCCAGATTCACGAAGCAGTTACGCAGGTACTTACGAACCTGGGGCCAGATTCACGAAGCAGTTACGCAAGTACTTACGAACGTGTACATCTTTCCTCAATCTTTGACGGCTTTGGTTACATTTTATTAAACAGTTTACGAGCATGAAAACTTGCCAATCAACTGTTGTTACTGTTATAAACAGCCTCCTGGTGCTTCGGAGCTCATTAACTGTTTAATAATTGTAAACAAAGCCGCCAAAGATTGAGAAAAGATGGACAGGTTCGTAAGTGCTTGCGTAACTGCTTCGTGAATCTGGCCCCTGGCCTATTGTGCAGGTAACGTC